GCCATACCTGATCCTTGTTGCACTTGTTTACGTCAGCGGGTCTCATTAGTATACTGCTGTGCTTCGTATGATTGTAGTTATACGTAAGCTCGTCTATGGCATCGACCCAGTTGTAAGTTCCTTTGCTGTAGAAATACTTCCACATCATTGTTTTCAAGGTTCTGTTAAATCTTTCAACGATAGCTGCCTTTCTGTCAGAGTTCGTGGAAAAATAGCGGACGTTGTGTTTTTGTAAGAGGTTCCTAACACCAACATTGTAGAATTCCTTTCCCTCGTCGAACTGAGCAACTTCCGGGTATTTCCCAAACCTTTTCTTGAATTCATCCAATAATAAGTTCACAGCCTTCGTCATATTTTTCGTATCCTTTCTATAGACGGGAATAGCAAATCCGTACCGGCTCAGAATCTCAACAGCTGTCAGTATCCAGTAATATCCTTTGTTCTGATTTTTATATTTTCCCATATCCACTAGATCCATCTGCACCTGATCCGCTAGGTCCTTAACGAATGTTCTCTGAAATCTATGTTTTCTAACGATAGGCTTATGCCTTGTATAGGTATCTTGAGTCTTTAACCAGTCCTTTACCGTTTTTCGACTAACGTCCAGTTCCTCCTCCTTTGCCTTTCGGTAGAGCTTCTCCGCGGACTGATAGCCGGTACCTGGATTGTAGTAGATATCCCTTAACCCTTGCTCGATAACAAAGTGTTTATCTTCCATTTTTTTTATTCATGTGATATAAAATTCAAGAAGTGCAGACATATCGACCTTATCACCAATGTTCGTACTAATACTGAAGGAGAATCTGTTATGGGAACCATTATTAACATAAACCCTACTTCCAATATCCTTGAAAAATGTTGTTGCTCCGTTCAGGTGCTGGTCAGATGGCACGGGTAATGTGCTCACTGTAAAACTTCCCTTACTGTTTACATCAAAATTTAGGGATGTATTAACAACATCACAGTCGATAGTAATGTATTTAAGACCATGATTAATATATATAGGATAGGGAGATCTCTCCCACACTCCGGGGGTTAGGATCTCCGTTTCTGGGAATCCAATTAGCGGAGCAAATTCATTTAAATGTAGGTCTGTCCCGGTTGCCGGATAGATTCTGCAGGTATTGTTGTTGGTGTTACGTTCTATTTTTATTCCATCTATCTTCAGTTTTTTCTTTATTGCATCAAAGGTCCAGTAGCCATCTTCGAAGGTAATCTTCTTTTGTCCATAGGTAATATTATCGTTAACATTCAAACGTACGTTTTTATAAGCCCAGTAGATGGTTGCGTTCTTTAGTATTAATTCCGACTCTGCGTTCGTCGTAATACACTTGTCTGGGAAAAACTTGGTAGTTCCATCCTCGATAAACACTGTTAACTTCTTCATTTTTATTACATGGATTAAATAAAATAAGTACCAGTGGAAATATATTCCGCGAATATTATGGACAGAACTACGAAAAAGTAAAGGCGGCAGCACCCATTGAAAGACGGAAGATGAAGGAGGATTTTAGGAAAAAATATCCGGGTGCAGAAATGTCTAAATTTGACTTTCAGGTTACATTTGCAAAGGATGGAACTTTAGAATCCAGGGACATATTCTTTAAGGTTACAGACCTGGAAAGTTACAACATCACATCCAGAACATTCAGGGGAAATAAAAAGTGAACGTGGTACCTTTACCAATGGGAGAGAATATGGGGTAATTATGGAACCGTTCAAACCTTTAGTCATAACAGGGATCCGCTTCCATACAAAATAAATAGGTTTGAAATTTACGTTTGCGACTGCACCAACACCTCTCACAACAGTTTTGTAACAAACTTTGCCGATCTCGACACAAAGTGGACTGGTACCGCAAAGGATATTACCAGGGTAAAGTTCAATTATATAAAAGACCCCTATTTTGCATCGATACTGGCTGCTTACATTATCACGTATAAGTGTGGAATAAGTACAGAACATCTGCTGGAAAGCAAGGGAACCTCAAAGATAATCACGAGTATTGCTAGGTATCACCTATACTACCACATGCGTAGGTTCCTCAGAAATCCGAGCAAAATGACAAAATATGTAACAAGGGATACGCTAAAATCCCTGCAGAGAAGCATGCCCACACGGAAAACATGGGTTAACAAATTCCACCGAGGACAAATGGAAATAGGTCTCTGGCACAGCAGACTTCCGGATAAGAGTAGGGTTAGAAACTATAGATATTCATACTACCATACCGGTGGTGTAATGGGAATTAGCTATCAGGAAGTAGACAGGGTCACTAACAACAGCGATACGGATTACACCTGGTTCATTGCCAAGAAATCAGACGGGTTGACGCCTTTAGGATTAAAGTTACTTCAACAATCTGTCGAAAGTTATGTCTATTGCGTATTGGGTGCGCAAGCACAAACACGCTGGTCTATCGTTGGTAAGGGAGCGAAGTCCCTGCAGACTCAGGACGTATTTCACAAACTTTTCAAAGACACCGTTGCGCAAGACGATGTATCGGTATCCATCTCCAATATGAGGAAAGCAATAAAGGATACTAACGTTGTACTTAACATGGCAATATCACCCGGACTAATATTAATACCATCCAATATGATTATACTCAAGGAAAAGATAGCAGGATACAACAATACACTAACACTAGCAACAAAGGACATGAAGTTCGGTAGTAATACGGATGTTAACTATTCAAAGCCTAAGGAGATAAAAAAGAGTCCGGATGTAAAAGTTCAAAACCCTATACCACACAGGGACCAGAACCCCATACCACACCATAACACGGTGAGTATACCAAAAACATCGAACAACCTGATTAACCTTCTCGGCACTATGTTTATCGGTGGGGTTATCACTTCAAGATGGATTTTCTTTTCGTATTAATAAAAGAATAAATAGCGACAGCATCAAAGTTAAGGAAAATTTAAAAAGGGACAAAACCGTCAACGTCGATATAAAACTTAGTAGAGGTGGAATGAATCTCGGTTATGTTAAATCCAAGACAACTAACATCAAGTACGTTACGTCGTGTAAGGAACGTAAAGCGGGGCCGTCAACAAAGACCGCGAAGGAAGAAAAACCAAAGTCAGCGAAAAATAAAAAGAAGAACAAATAAAAATGGGATATTTACACAAAAAACGCGAGACCACAGACGAAGTGAAGTACGACAAGAACCATCGGAAAAGGAAAATGTTCAGTTTCGGAATTGGTATAGAAGGTGGTGATCTCACTATCAATGCTCACACCCAAATCGGATATGTTAGTACAACGGTAAAAAAGTATGATAAAGTAAATGACTAGAACCCGGATACTGTGGAGACTAATATGGATGTGTCTAGTGTTCTGCCTACTCATCCCGATAACGGTTGAAATTCTTCTCATTGTTATCATCCTTAAATTACTATTCCAATTTTAATGCTAAGTAAGCATTAAAATTCTTTTTTTTTACCAGTCCCCCACGTCACAGAACTATATACCGTTGGGCGTTAGGTATACATCACTGCCTACAGGGACGATGACTGGTCAATGTATTCCCAGCCCAGTGTTTGGAATACTTTTTTACACCGGTCGTGTGAAGCTTTGCTTACCGGAATATTAAGAAGCTTCTCGTTCAACTTTATGTTACGTCTTTTACATATCTGGTAAGTTAGAATATTAAGATTAGGAAGTCTCTTTCTTTCAGGTTTTTCTGCCTTATAAACTTTCCGAATGTTCTCTGCTATCAAACGTCTTTCATGTGCTGATAGATCGGAATATGTTATTTTCCTCCTGGTACAGAATGATTCGAACCTACCATGAACGTCTATTCCCCGACTTCTCGTAATCACACTGTCCCTACAATCGTAGTCGTAACAGGGATAGCAAACCCTACCAACAACTAATCCACACGACCAACACGTTCGAAACCCGTCTGTGGAGACGAGATGATGCCTGTGTCCCTCGGAGCAGAAGTGCTTGTTCGGAAACTTCACAGGTTCCTCTAAAGCAAGAAGATCCAGGTACTCCTTTTCCGCTTGCCTAAAGAGAGCCGACCAATTTGAGGGAGGCGGTTCCAACTGACGAATCTCTTCCGGTACTGTCGTAGGAAAATCCATACTTTTTTATTATATGGAAAATTATTTCTTTAAGTTGGTTTCGAAACTATCCTAAGCTGATGTTGAAATCTATTTAAGGTTATGCTGCAATCTAGAATTTAACTAGACTTTAACTAGATGCTAAACCTAGTCAAGGTTATGTTGAAATCTAGTTAAGGTTATGCTGCAACTAGCTCTGGCTAGAATTTGACTAAAATTTAATATTTTATATTAAATAAAGTATGAATGAACTGACAATAACGAAAGCAGAAAAGACCCACAAACCGAAGGATCCTAGAAGGGTAGAATCAGGTAAAAGACTGGCTGCAATATCTAGGGAAGCAAAAGCAAGGAAGACCGAAGAAAGACGTAGCGCTGAAAATAACCTCGATCAAGGTGACTCAGTAAATACGCTAATTTACGCTGGAGTCGCAGCAGTTGCGCTAGGAGGAATCTATTGTATATACTGTAGGGTCAGACCTGCGGACAAGTCCAATCATACAACAGAACCACAAGTACAGGATGAGTCGAATCATAGACAAAGCGAAGCGAAACCAAAGTTCGAAAAATTTAATAATTAATGTACTATAATAAAACAATGGAAAATAGAAGCCAAGAACTTACACCCGGTTTCAAAAGGGCGCTGACCTCCGATGTTGTAGGAAACAGGGTATGTAACTTCGTTACATTCACCCCCAAACGAATCCAACCCTGGAAACGACATCCGCATAGTAGTTCCGAAACTGGAACCAAACACCTGTATCGTTCCGGGCTCATTTCGTCTGTCGTACGAGTTCAAGAACGAAAACACCAAATCCTGGTTCATGAATAACCTCGGTAAACTTCTGTGCAAGCGACTCATGATAAGGGTGGGGAGTGAGATAGTATACGACAATAACGGTGAAAGTCTCATCGAAATCTACAAGGATCTCTGGAAGATGGATTCAAAAAGGGCAAACATGGTGGAATACGGAATTATGAACGAGAACACAAGAAAGCTATTGTCGAAGGACGACAGTGCCGATCAGACCGCAAAAACGGAAGGTGCCTACGACCTGGTGATGGCAAAGGTATACAAGGAGCAGAAGATGAAACTTGGAAAAATTCTTAATGATCATGGTCCCTACGCACCGTACAACATGAAAAGTGGATTTGAGTACACGATAACCCTTCCAAAAGCCGACAAGATTATGGTTGCACAGTCAAGCGAAAAGGTGGAAGGATATACACTGAAGAACATACACCTGGAATACGAAACCATAGAGAACGAAGAACTGGCCAAACGGGTAAACGAAGGATACGAGACCGGCAGGTCCCTGTCCTACGAACATACAACACTGTTGAAAACAACCGTGTGGGCAAAGGATGCTACAAGGTTTAACGAGAGCATAGACGTTCCGAGGGAAAGCATGAGGGCCGTGGTTTTACTTTTCAGAAAAAGAACAGTAACCGACAGCGAAGAATACGTCTTCCCGGATATTAAGAAGGTAAAGGTCACGATAAAGGGAAAGCCAAATGCCGTATAAAGTCAAGGTCTAACATACGAAAATTTCTATGACGAAGCAAAAAGACTGTTCGGAATGGCTAACAACGCCTGTAACGACGACATAAGCGTTAGGAAATTCTACAAAGATAAATTCGCACTGGTGATCGATCTGAGAGCTGTTGATGACAGTCACATTGTTGGAAGTGGAAAAAAGATCCTTGGTGATAATCCCGGAATGCTTCTGGAGATCGAAACAGTCGGTCATTCTGAAGATCTCCTCTGTAACATCTTTGTGCTATCCGATGGACTCATAAACATCAGTGAAAAGACCCTTCAGGGTATCAGTTACTAAATAAAGGATGGAACCGCTAAAAACACCATTCAACATGATCATTCTTGGAATGACCGGATGTGGAAAAACCTACTACCTACTGGAAATGTTGGAGAATAACTACAAAAACCACTTCGAGTACATATTTCTAATATGTCCCACATATAAATGGAATAGAACGTATCAGGACTGGAAATACAATAGGGATAAGGACTTTATGGTCATGTCCTGCAAGCAGGATGATGTAAACCAGTACTTAGAATACGTTTCGCGGTTTGTGGAAGGAACAAACAGCCTTGTCGTTCTTGATGACTGTGCTAGCAGTCAATCTATCAAAAACAGGACTAGCGAATTGGTAAAACTTGGGTTTAGCGCCAGACATATGGGAATATCAACCATTGTCATTACCCAACAGCTTACATCCGTTGCGAAACCCTATAGAGAAAATATATCCAAACTCGTAACCTTTTACAACCCGAGCGCAAAAGATACAAACATTATAATGGATGATTACCTCGCAAATACAGAGAAATAGGAAAGGAAGGAAATCATTAATACGCTAAAAAACAACGACTACGCCAGACTGGAGATACTATTACGCCGACCCTATACCCACAAAACAATTATTCCGCATATTAAATAAAGAAATGGAAACCATATTCGAATCTGTAGAACCTGAGATGACCGAAACATCTGTTGCAAGTGGTCTAAGAGAAAATCTACTGAAGCTGGCCGATGCGGGTGAAATCAAGTACACCTCAAAATATATTAAAAAGGCATCTGAAAAGACGTTGGAAAATATATACAAAGACTATGAAAGACAACAGCTGGAAAACACAAACAACCAACTGACTGACGTTATCATCACCAAGTTCTCCGAACTCATGGAAGCGTTGGATGCTGTCAAGGATTTCGAAGGAATGAAAAAAGAACTGGAGGAAAATGATCTGCTTAGAAAAGATATAAAAAACCTTGTTAGTTATGTAACACCATACATTCCACTTATCGGAATACTAAGTGGTGGAATCACCGTCGGAAAACACGTGATCAGCTCGAAGGTAAGCTGTCCGGAAAAAGGAGAAAATGTCGATGCTCCTTAAATTTTAATGTTCTTACAAACATTAAAATTGGTTCTGCTAGCATTCCTAATCCCGTTGTCGTAAAAGTCTCTTCCTCGGTGTCTTAGGCTTTTCTTCCAGTACGTTTGCCTCGTGTAGCTTCACCTGAATGGAAGTCGTACTGCTGGACACGAAGACCCCTTCGATTCTGATGATTGCATCGAGATGAAATCTCTTGTCCTGATACTTTTTAGGATCATCGGGTTCGTCCCCTTTCGGAGGATAGATCTCCGTTTCGTTGTCAATCTTTGCGTATAGGGTCGGAGTGCTGCCTTTCCGATAAAGACATTTCATAATGTTTTCACCCGACTTGCCGATGTGGTTGGCAGATTCCTTTTCCACCAATTCCAAGACCGACACAAACTCAGCCTTGTCCTTCAGAGCTAAGGAAATGGAGTAATTTTCCTTACCGAACTTGTTGTTCATGCTCACTCCATAAGACAAACAATCCGTGAGTTCCAACAGAAGCGGACCCTGATCTCGTGCCGTTAATTTAATCTTCTTGGACCCGTATCTGTTTCCGACGGCATCTTCGAAAGCGAACGAGTCCTTGGTGAAGTCTGAGACTTTGGTAATGGACATCCTTTCTTTATTGTATACTTTTTTTTTTCGATTCAAATCCATTAAAAAATTACCTATAATACTTGAGGTTGTGTTTCATATGCTTACACCAAAAGTCTTTGACAATACCCTTCCGACTAGCCCAAATCGTACAAGCCGAACATCGTTTCTGATGCGGTTCCGCCTTCGGCTTCCGGTTGTACATCCTCTCCTTAGTGTAATGTTCGAACATATTCTCTTTTCCCATACTTTATTGTATACGCGGTTCATCCTCGAACACTTCATCATAGTTATCATTTTCATCATTGTCGTTGGAGACGGTATTCCAGTCCGGTTCAGATTCCTGATCGGTGTCAGATAGTCCGACCATCATCTCAGCTTTCTCCCTTTCCAAACGCGCGTTTTCAAGTGCAAGCCTACGCAAGAATGTGCTGTCTGACTTCCCCTTGCGTCCCGGGAAACATCTCCGTTCGGTTCCGGGAATACCGTTTACCCCAAGGACTCGGGATCTGGTTCTCCTACTACTCGTTGTGGTATTCATACTTTATCGTATGTATGGTCCTCTATAAGACATTTCGATTCATCTCGGAAATGTACAGAACAATGAATACATTCCGAAGTCGGCAGCATGAAATAACAACGGAAAGAATTAACAAAACGGCACTTTCGGCAAAAGATGATAAGCGTGTTATACTATCCGACGGAATACATACTCTAGCAATAGGACACTATCGACTCTCCCGGAAGGATTAAAAAAAATAGTTCCAAAAGTAGTGATGACGTCATCATTGAATTCTTTGGAAAAACATCACGTGATTGATGACGTCATCATTAAATTCTTTGGAAAATGATCACGTGATTGATGACGTCATCATTAAATTATTTGGAAAAGACATGCGTTAGAGGGACGGAGCGAACCTGAATTAATTAATGACGTCATTAATTAATAGACATTTATCGAACCGGTTTGAACCGGTTTAGAAAGCGGATCGAAAATGGCCCAGAACCGGCCTTTCTATACTACTCTTGAAAAGGGAGTCCTGCTATTTGAAAATAATGCTACGCTATTTGAAAAGGGAGTTCTGCTATTTGAAAATAATGCCACGCTATTTGAAAAGGGAGTTGTCCTATTTGAAAAGTATGCTCCGCTATTTGAAAATAGAGTTCCGCTATTTGAAAAGAAAGTTCCGCTACTTGAAATGGGAGTCCTGTTCTTCGTATCGCTATTTGAAAAGGGAGTTCTGCTATTTAAAAAGAAAGTTCCACTATTTGAAAAGGAAGTTCTGCTATTTGAAAATAAAGCTACGCTATTTGAAAAGGGAGTTCTGCTATTTGAAAAGAATGCTCCGCTATTTGAAAAGGGAGTTCCGCTATTTGAAACGAAAGTTCCGCTATTTGAAAAGAAAGTACTGCTATTTGAAAAGAATGCTCCGCTATTTGAAAAGGGAGTTCTGCTATTTGAAACGAAAGTTCCGCTATTTGAAAAGGGAGTTCTGCTAATTGAAAAGAATGCTCCTCTATTTGAAAAGGCGGTTCTGCTATTTGAAAAGAATGCTCCGCTATTTGAAAAGAGAGTTCTGCTATTTGAAAACAATTCTCCGCTATTTGAAAAGGGAGTTCTGCTATTTGAAAAGAATGCTCGTCTATTTGAAAAGGGGGTTCTTCTATTTGAAAAGAATGTTCCGCTATTTGAAAAAGGAGTTCTGCTATTTGAAAAGAAAGCTCCGCTATTTGGAACGGGAGGTCTGCTATCTGAAAAGAATGCTCCACTATTTGAAAAGGGAGTTCTGCTATTTGAAAAGAAAGTTCCGCTATTTGAAAAGGGAGTTCTGCTTTTTGAAAAGAAAGTTTCGCTATTTGAAAAGGGTGTTCTGCTATTTGAAGAGAATGCTCCGCTATTTGGAAAGGGAGTTCTGCTATTTTAAAAGAAAGTTCTTCTATTTGAAAAGGGAGTTCTTCTATTTGAAAAGAATGCTCCGCTATTTGAAAAGGGAGTTCTGCTATTTGAAAAGAAAGTTCCACTATTTGAAAAGGGAGTTCCGCTATTTGAAAAGAATGCTCCGCTATTTGAAAAGGGGGTTCTGCTATTTGAAAAGAATGCTCCGCTATTTGAAAAGGGAGTTCAGCTATTTGAGAAGAATTCTCCGCTATTTGAAATGTGAGATCTGCTATTTGAAAAGAATGCTCCGCTATTTGAAAAGGGAGTTCTGCTATTTGAAAAGAATGCTCCCCTATTTGAAAAGGGAGGTCTGCTATTTGAAAAGAATGCTCCGCTATTTGAAAAGGGAGTTCTGCTATTTGAAAAGAATGCTCCTCTATTTGAAAAGGGTGTTCTTCTATTTGAAAAGAATGCTCCGCTATTTGAAAAAGGAGTTCTGCTATTTGAAAAGAAAGCTCCGCTATTTGGAACGGGAGGTCTGCTAACTGAAAAGAATGCTCCACTATTTGAAAAGGGAGTTCTGCTATTTGAAAAGAAAGTTCCGCTATTTGAAAAGGGAGTTCTGCTTTTTGTAAAGAAAGTTTCGCTATTTGAAAAGCGTGTTCTGCTATTTGAAGAGAATGCTCCGCTATTTGGAAAGGGAGTTCTGCTATTTTAAAAGAAAGTTCTTCTATTTGAACAGGGAGTTCTGCTATGTGAAAAGAATGCTCCGCTATTTGAAAAGGGGTTTCTGCTATTTGAAAAGAATGCTCCGCTAATTAAAAAGAGAGCTCTGCTACTTGAGGAGAAAGTTCCTCTAATTGAAAAGGGAGTTCTGCTATTTGAAAAGAATGCTCCGCTATTTGAAAAGGGAGTTCTGCTATTTGAAAAGAAAGTTCCACCATTTGAAAAGGGAGTTCCGCTATTTGAAAAGAATGCTCCGCTATTTGAAAAGGGGGTTCTGCTATTTGAAAAGAATGCTCCGCTATTTGAAAAGGGAGTTCAGCTATTTGAGAAGAATTCTCCGCTATTTGAAATGTGAGTTCTGCTATTTGAAAAGAATGCTCCGCTATTTGAAAAGGGAGTTCTGCTATTTGAAAAGAATGCTCCCCTATTTGAAAAGGGAGGTCTGCTATTTGAAAAGAATGCTCCGCTATTTGAAAAGGGAGTTCTGCTATTTGAAAAGAATGCTCCTCTATTTGAAAAGGGTGTTCTTCTATTTGAAAAGAATGCTCCGCTATTTGAAAAAGGAGTTCTGCTATTTGAAAAGAAAGCTCCGCTATTTGGAACGGGAGGTCTGCTAACTGAAAAGAATGCTCCACTATTTGAAAAGGGAGTTCTGCTATTTGAAAAGAAAGTTCCGCTATTTGAAAAGGGAGTTCTGCTTTTTGTAAAGAAAGTTTCGCTATTTGAAAAGCGTGTTCTGCTATTTGAAGAGAATGCTCCGCTATTTGGAAAGGGAGTTCTGCTATTTTAAAAGAAAGTTCTTCTATTTGAACAGGGAGTTCTGCTATGTGAAAAGAATGCTCCGCTATTTGAAAAGGGGTTTCTGCTATTTGAAAAGAATGCTCCGCTAATTAAAAAGAGAGCTCTGCTACTTGAGGAGAAAGTTCCTCTAATTGAAAAGGGAGTTCTGCTATTTGAAAAGAATGCTCCGCTATTTGAAAAGGCAGTTCTGCTATTTGCAAAGAATGCTCCGCTACTTGATATGTGAGTACTGTTCTTCGTATCGCTATTTGAAAAGGGAGTTCTGCTATTTAAAAAGAAAGTTCCACTATTTGAAAAGGGAGTTCTGCTATTTGAAAATAAAGCTACGCTATTTGAAAAGGGAGTTCTGCTATTTGAAAAGAATGCTCCGCTATTTGAAAAGGGAGTTCTGCTATTTGAAACGAAAGTTCCTCTATTTGAAAAGGCAGTTCTGCTATTTGAAAAGAATGCTCCTCTATTTCAAAAGGGAGTTCTGCTATTTGAAAAGAATGCTCCGCTATTTGAAAAGGGAGTTCTGCTACTTGAAAAGAAATTTCCGCTATTTGAAATGGGAGTTCTGCTATTTGAAAAGAATGCTCCGCTATTTGAAAAGGGAGTTCTGCTATTTGAAACGAAAGTTCCGCTATTTGAAAAGGGAGTTCTGCTATTTGAAACGAAAGTTCCGCTATTTGAAAAGGGAGTTCTGCTATTTGAAAAGAAAGTTCCGCTATTTGAAAAGGGAGTTCTGCTTTTTGTAAAGAAAGTTTCGCTATTTGAAAAGCGTGTTCTGCTATTTGAAGAGAATGCTCCGCTATTTGGAAAGGGAGTTCTGCTATTTTAAAAGAAAGTTCTTCTATTTGAAAAGGGAGTTCTGCTATGTGAAAAGAATGCTCCGCTATTTGAAAAGGGGTTTCTGCTATTTGAAAAGAATGCTCCGCTAATTAAAAAGAGAGCTCTGCTACTTGAGGAGAAAGTTCCTCTAATTGAAAAGGGAGTTCTGCTATTTGAAAAGAATGCTCCGCTATTTGAAAAGGCA